AATTTGTATGAATATTAGTTTTCAGCTGCTCTTATACATCATTTAAGTAAAATCTCAGGAAAATCAATAGATCTTTAGTTCGAATTTTAGTGACGTCATGTGAAAACCAGCTATTGAGCCAAAAAAAAAAAAAACATTATGTCAGGAGATAATGTGTTTTTTCAGAATTGGAACCTCTTAGGGGTGAAAAAAATTTAAGCCACTCCCACAGAACAGGATCTTGGTACCTCTTAGGGGTTCTTATATGGGAGTGCCCCCGGGAATTTAAGATGGCGGTCGAACGTGGCTACCGAGTTTTCCAGCCTAAGAGATTGGGGCAGAGTCTAAATAAATCTGGGTATTAAACTAGGACTCTGTAACATATCTTTTATTTATTACATTCTAATCGTAAATTAAGTACATATATTTGTAATTCTCGTTAATCTTGGTACCTAAACATCGACAAGTCTGTCTGAAGCTAATGATTTTACCTGAAAAAGAGGAAAATAAAGCTGAAATATAAACCTCAACATACTTGTGCACTGATGTAAAACCATGCAAAGATGTTCTTCTGGCTAGTCACGCAATCTTTTCACCCCTTNAGAAAAAAAGCGCTTTTATTGTCTTTTATATCAATAATTTAAGACCGAGGGGTTGGGGGGGTGGACTCCAATATAAAAAGGATAAGGGTGCTCTACTCACCTTTTAGGGGTTACCTCAAAAGGTTGCACGCGTTCGAGGTTCCTTTTAGGGTATTGAGCCAAAAAAAAAATTATGTCAGGAGATAATGTGTTTTTTCAGAATCGGAACCTCTTAGGGGTGAAAAATATGTAAGCCACTCCCACAGAACAGGATCTTGGTACCTCTTAGGGGTTCTTTTCAAACTTTCCAACGAGCACCCCCGTTGTTGTTATATGGGAGTCCCCCCGGGAATTTAAGATGGCGGTCGAACGTGGCTACCGAGTTTTCTAGCCTAAGAGATTGGGGCACAGTCTAAATAAATCTGGGTATTAAACTAGGACTCTGTACCATTTTTTTTTTTATTTATTACATTCTAAACGTAAATTAAGTACATATATTTATGATTGTCTTTAATCTTGATACCTAAACATCGACAAACCTGTCCGTCGCTAAAGATTTTATCTGAAAAAGAGGTAAAAAAAAAATCTGAAATATAAACCTCAACATCCTTGTGCACTGATGTAAAACCATGCAAAGATGTTCTTCTGGCTAGTCACGCAATCTTTTCACCCCTTATAAGAAAGGAACGACTGCGTGACGGGTCTAAAAAGCGCTGAGTGCGACAACATCGGGCTGTTTAGTGATTCAGTAAAACAAACAAGAAAATTAAACAAATTCTGGCCTCTGTAACCGATCTGGCACTTAACAGATAAAGCCGTTGATTATTTTTACAAAAATAAAAGCAAATAAGTTCCCGGGCGGGATTTTATTTTCCATTCCGTTGCTAATGCTCCACACAAACGTTTTTCACATGATATATACATATATTTTTAATAGTCATATCTTGTCAAGCAGTAATGATCCTTTAGATTTTATTTTCCATATAGATCGCTAATCTAGGCTTGCACAACCTTTTCAAGCTGTGAGTTCATTTTGGTAAGGGTTGGCAAGCAGCGCTGTTTCTGCCAAAACTTCACGTACTCGACCCAGATATCTTAGAGGGACACAACTCCTCATTTAATCTTAGCCGCCTTTACAAATACAAGTCAAGACTAAAACCGTTTCTATGCTCAGTGACTTTGAGCAATGCTAGAGAAGTACGACAGAATGTCATTGATGGTCACTTCAAGATTGATCATGGAACCAGGGTAACAGCGCTGAATAAGATCTTCAAAGTGTTTGTATTGCTGAATGAATTCTTCCTGCATGGAGTGCCACACAACCTGATAGGATAAAACATTCACATTTAACTCT